CATTTAGCAACTGACATACGGTTTAATGTGAAGACAAACAAACAAAAAACAACAAAACAACATACACATGTCGTCGCCGCCGCGACCAATCGTGGTTGATTTGATGGACGCAATATATATATTCTGAACCGCATGAACGCTGGTCAATGCGGTGAAGGGGCCCAGGCAGGTGAATGACGGCGGCGGTGCACAACTGCTGTGCGCTCGAAGGAACCGACGGCAGCAGCAGTCGGCAGCGGTTGCAGCGGATGCAATTTCTTAAGAAAATTATTACAAACACGGAGACTTTTCGACCGCACGCAAGAGCCGATCCTGCGGGCTGGCCATGGGTCCTGGCAAATGTTTCGGTCTTTTCGCAGTTTTTCAGATCCCTCTGGGCCCTTCGTGGATCTTTTTTTCGAAACCTTCGGCGGTCGTCAAGTGTCAAGAGGCGCACGGGCCACGAAGGCCACAGCAGCACACAAAGCGGCGAGGAACAGAGAGTTCCTGTGCATTGTGAGACGGGCCAAAAGAAGAAGGAAATGATTTATTTCCTGTTGGAAATGAAAAGTGCCTAAACTCAAGGAACTTTCCACCAACGCCGAACGAGTCGCCCGCTCTCTTCGCTGCGCGCCATCACAACCGCCCAACTGCTTCGGTACTTCTTCTGTCCCTCTGACCACAACGTCAGCAAGCTGTGTCCGAAGCGGTGACGACAGCAGCAGCAAGAGATCTCAGCCGTTTCGTCCGTACAGCAGTATCACTACAAGAATAAGCTCCCACGGACTGCGCCCCGAGAACATGACCGGCACAATCGTGAGTGTGTTTTGTCAATATGTATGTTCCAGAATTGGGCGTCTGATTCGCACGGCGGGTGTTGAGCCGCCGCGTCAGAAATTGGTTCAATCTCCTCCCGCTCAACCTGCGAAGAGCAGGTGTCTGCGAAAGCAAACGAGTGCAAGCGATGCAATAGGTATCTGTGCCTGTCTACAGACAGTAGCACCGCCGTCTCACGACGCCCGCCGAGTATTGAGCAACGAAATCGTTGAGTCTTCCAGAGTGTGGGACAAGATGTGTCAGTCGCCCCCGCTTTAAAAAAACTTGTTTCGCGGAGCACCAGGGGGCCCGGCCGATGTGATAATCGTACTTTGAGTTTTTTTTAGAGCAGTGGCCAGATGGGCACGCTTTTGGTTTAAAAAACAAAAGCTGTTTAGAGGGGGGGGGCAAAGCGGGCTCAATCAAGTAAGTCGGTCTTGTTGTTGTTTGTTGTTGTTTCTCACATTAGCTTTATTGTCCACAAAAAATGGGGAACCCGTGGTCTCACAACCCGGCACATACGACGCCGCGGGGAAACAAAACAAAAATAGGGTACAAACCACTCGGATGATAGAAAGAAAAGAACAGGTATCGCACCGACCATTCGAGAAAAGAGCCCTCGGAAACCGATCAAAATTCACCAACACAAAAATAACAACATGCCACCATGCACAACATTCTACTGCTGCCGTTCACCTGTCGCCGTCCTTCCACGTCTACCTATCCATGACACATGCTGCCACTTGATGCGGCAACATCTGGGAACAACACGGACACAGGGAGTACCCCCGTTTCCATACGCACAACCTTTCATTCCTCCCTTGTCAAACACAAATGATGTAACATGCATGAAATGATGAACTCTGTCTATATTTACACGTATGGTCCACGCTGCCTACAAATGGGAGAGGTAGCCATACCTCCTGCCTACACACGGACGAGAGAGGTGAACACACACACTGCATTTAACACACACCCACATGTCGGTTATGAAACCTCATCAACCACACGCCTCTATCGGCGACCACGTCATCAGGAGGCAATGATGAGAAATGTTCTCCCGTGCCTGCCCTTCTCACATTTAACGACGTGAAATTCCACAACATAACAAATATGAGACACACAAGACAGCTACCAAACTGATCTTTTGAGCCTGTCACCCGAGAGTTGTCCCTATATGTTGTCTAGGAAATCGTAGACATACAGGTAGTTTTCTCTGACCCTATGATTCCATTGTTAATCTGTCTCTGACTCTTTTCTATGATAGAGATGGCACATCAGCCGCACATACGATCGCCCCGGTGGTCTAGTGGGTAGCCTCGCAGCCTGCTAAGGGCCAGCTCATGGGTTCGAGCCCCGGCAGAGAGAAGTTTTGTTTTCACTAAACAAATCCTGGTCTAGGATGAAAGCGACGAGCTGCAAAGCTCGTTGTTAGTAAACCATAATAATCGACTTCGTAAGTCGCGAGGGAAGGGACTGCTGTACCCTTCTCGCGATAAAAATACCTCAGGCATGAACCGCAGGAGGGGGTCCAACCCCCCCCTCCTATGTGACCCCGGTTGGGTCGTCTAGCTAGTAGAAGTGGAGGATAGGGGCCAGAGGGGCAGACGACAGAGTCCAATTGTTGTTGTTGTTGTTGTTGTTGTTGTCTTCACATTAAAAACCATCCCGGTCTCTCTTTCCAGTACCTCCTTCTGTCTCAATCTCTCCGTACTAATCCATCACTTGACTCGGCCAATTTCCGTGGTCACAGGCTAACGTACCTAGAAAAGGTATACCAAAATAAAATGGACCCCAAGGGTCAGCAGAGCGATAAAATACAAGAAAACAAAATATAATCAGAAACAAATAAAATAAAATAAAATAAATAATTAGACTAGTGGAACGGCCGCACCACCAGCCTGGGGGGGTAGCCTCCCACTACATGGAGGCAGGTCGACGGCCAAAGGAAGGGGCGGGGGTACGTGCCAGTAAAAAACAAAACAAAAGACAAAATAAAACAGAATAAAGCAAAGACGAGGACACAAACAAACTCGCACAGAGACAGGGATATCCCTAGAGACAGTCTGAACGCGACAGCAATGATGGGAGAAAAAACAAAAACAACAACAAAAAACTCCGCACATATGCATACCAAACTGAGAATATGTTTGTTTGTAAACTGATGGAGATTGATTGCATGTCCTACAACTAATAGGGTGCGACACACAAAACGCCCGAACGCCCGACTACCCAACAGTACCCAACACCTTTCGTCTGCACCTTCCCAACATAACATATATGAGACACACAAGACAGCTACCAAACTGATTTGTTGAGCCTGTTACCCACAGGGGAGATGTCCCTATAT